AAAAGTATTGAAGTAGAATAGATTTTGAGTTAAGTGATGTTTGTAAAGGCGTAAAGCGAGTATTAAATACTTCCCACTTACAACATATATACGTATATTTGAAAATAGCGATAGTATTTGTTTTTAATAAGTCCAAAAGTTAATATTACAAAAAAAGTATAGGATCTATAATTGATCCATCGGTAAAATATATGTATTATTAATCAATTGACTATAAAGTAATATTACCTATATTGAAGAAATTCAAAGTTATAACTAACTTGCTGTATATAATTGATTGATTATTTTACATGGTATGAATTATGGTATTAAGGTAATAATGTAATAGATACGTACGTATTAGAAATGGCAGGTAATTAGAATTAGATATACATATAAACGAAAGTACTGTATAAATGAAAGTATATTATTTTATAAACAAGCCTAATTTTTTTTATCAATATTTTTTTTTAAACAAACTATGTATGGATATTAATAGTAGATATATCTTGAAAACAAAATACAGAAATATAGTTTACAAAAGGTTTAACTGTGTACGTATTTGTAATACAATACCAATAACAATTTTCACTAATAAAAAAAGTGACACAAGTGATCCGATGCACTTTACTGTATTAAGTGCATTGGCTTTGCCTGACTGATCAACATTATAAAATTGTGACTAGGGTTACGTATCGGTACAGGGCCAATCATCACATATATGCAGGAAGTCGGAAGTATTTAATACTCGCTTTACGCCTTTACAAACATCACTTAACTCAAAATCTATTCTACTTCAATACTTTTAAAGAAGATGATATTAACAAAACTTGGTCGATACAATTGTTTTGACCCATTCGGTTCATCCATTCGTCGTAATTCCAACATATCTAACAATAGGTCATCCGCACACAATTCTGCAAATTCCGATGAAGACCAATTTTATAATTTATCTTCATCCTCGTCCCCGTCTTCATCCTCATCCACTGCATCATCATTAAATGTTATAACGCCACAAGTAGTACAGACACTTCCCTCAGAGATTTTGATCGAAATCTGTGGATACCTTCATCCAGTCGATTTATATTCTTTGGCATCTGTTTGTAAGCGATATAGAAACTTGTTATGGTCAAGATGTTCAACCACTACGCAAGAAATCTGGAAAAATTCTAGATTAAAATATGTTCCAAATCTCTCGATGACACCTCCTGCGGAAATGTCAGAACAAGAATATATTTGGTTGATGTTGATATTAAAAAAATGTATGTTTTGTGAAGAGAGAAATAAGTTTGAGTTAGCAATGTATTGGGAATTCAGAATGTATTGCTGTCAAAAGTGTTTGGATAATAGAACTGTTAGGTAATCGTTCTGTCATAATAAACATTGTTTAAACGGTCTCTTTTTCTTGAGTTTGAACTAACAATATAGCAAATTGCTTTTGCAGCCGTTATACTCTGCTTAATGAATGGAATGTTCATGATTTTCTTTTATCATGCTTCACACAACTTCAGCGCAGTTCTAATCCACGAGATCCACCTTTGTATTTAATCGAAGATGTTAAAGCTACGCTTAATAATTATAATCGATTATCAAAAGATGAGAAACCTCAATGGATTAAAAACCAAGAAAAGAATATTTCGAGACTTCAATCAGAAAATGAACAATATAACCATATACATGATCTTACAAGATATGACCATACCGAAAGACTGGAAAGGTTATTGAAAAAACTACATGAGTTTTATACATGGCCTAAACATAGGTCAATGTAGATAGAGGCAAATAGACGGAGGTTTAGGGAAACGGTACATAAATTAGACAGGCTTAAAATTTGGAACATTTTTCCTACGTTATATTTATCACTTCTTTCATAATAGGCATTATAAGAAAACTACAATAATACACCATTCTATTGACGTCAATTAATACTCGGTAAGTAGTAATCAAAATTAAGGAGTTATATAATTATTAATCTTAAAGACTTGAATAAACGAGTTTATTGTAATAGAACTTGCTATATCTATATGTATATTTTTCTTTTTTTTTTAAAAAAAAAAAACCATGGAAATAAAAATGTCTGCTTTTTTTAATATAATTCCAGAATCGATAGAATCGATATCCGGTGAGTTTATTCCGTTTCTTCGTTTTTACACGAAAGTTTTTAAAAGATCTCGTTTCACATTTATTTTATCTCGTGCAATGGGATATTTTAAAATCCTTGATTTCTATACATTTTATTTTCAAGAAAGAACGCATTTAAATCTTTTAAAATGTTTTAATTTTAAATTTACATATAATACATAAAATTTTTTCACATTTTGATATCACTTATATACTGTAAATACATAAAAAATTCAATTAAACATGATTGATTGGAAACAGGTTAACATATTTATAAGCAAAAGTTAAGTTCCCAATTAACGTTTTCTTTCAAGTGGTAAAATCTTTGGAGGAAGTTCTTTGGAGAAAGCCAAGACATATTCTTTAGGGTTAACTTGGATATAGTCTTCGTTGTGATAATTATAAACGTTACGAATATGAATTTTATGTTTTTGGCTTTCTAGATGCTTATAAATTCCTTTAAGATTAAAGAACCTAGAATTTGAATAATATGAAGGATTCTCTGCACATAATTTACATTCAAATACATGATGTCCTTCCAAACCACGAATAATAGCTTCTTTAACAGTCAAAAGTAATCCAGGTTGGTTTTGAATGCTTATAGCTTCTTCTGTAAGTTTTGGTAAGATTTCTTTCAGGAAATAGATATCATCCCATGGTTTATTGTGATCATTATTTTTAATCGGTGGACATTGATATGTTGGACAATGCTTGAGAATATATTGTCGTAAGTCTAATATATCCATAACAATTTTTGGCTTATGACAATTGTCGATACGATCATATTTAGTGCCAGTAACGGTAGCAGTTAAAATCATTGGTTTTGATTGAATAATAATATTTACTCCAACTACTAAAGGGTTTAAAGATCGTTTCTTTAAGGTGAAAGCAGTTAACCCTTCTGTCATTTGTCTGATTCCAAGAGTACGAGGATGTGGCCATAGTTTTAAAATCCACATCCTTATTTTTTCTTGTGCATCAGTTATTACTGCTTTTCTGGCCTTAATTTCTTCTTGTGTCATTTTAAAAAATTCGGCCGAATTTGGTGATTTTATTATCTGTAATTCTTTGTAGATTTCCTCATCCTTTCTCCGAAGCTGTAATGCCTTTTTTGCTTCATTGAATGTTTGGTCTTTGGAGGATTCACCTAGATTAGAAGTAGTGCTTGGTGTTGACTTTTGGGATGCTTGCGTAATTTTGGTTACTGTGCCTTGAGTATTTTCAGGATTATTGTGGTCAATTGCGATTTTTTTAGTAGACCCGATAAGATCTTTAAGGCTAATGCTTATTTCTGATGGAAGTTTATTGGATGAATTATAACCTTCAAGTGATGTAAGATCAATCAAATCTGGTTGTTCGCTAGATCTTGTCGTTTTCCGATCGTGATAATCAGTATCGTGATAAATGGCTGTCTCAACAATCTCAAATTTTAGTTGCGTGTTAGAATGTTGTATAACCTTGTCGACATTTTGCCCTTGCAGTATATTGAAACCATTATCGTTATTACTCATTTTAAGTTATAAATCAATTGGTTTTAAAAATCAATGTTGCGAATACCAAATTCTTGAATTCCACAAAAAAAGAGAAAGTTAAATCCATGCAGATCGCAAAAACAAAATTTTAACACAATTTATCTAAATTGGTCAAGCATTAATACACGTGATATCTTACGGCAGATACAATGAACATTTCAAATGAATCGGATGTCGCGTTAAATATATTAAGTATATCGGTCTAATTAACATAATGCAGTTAATTAGCAAAAACATAAAATTCAATTGCACTACCTCTAAAAGACGGTTTTAGAATCTGCCCGGTTTTGATGGTTTTCTACGTGTAACATAAAATTACCTTGCAAATTAAACTTGCACCCTATTTTTGATATCTATACGTATAGGTGATGACAAGGGAAAACCTGTAAATCAGTTTTTGAATTTTCACTTTGTCCTGAAGTTATTATAACGATAATAATATACATGATTAAAGTATATAACTAGTTATTGTAGATTTGGAATCTACTTAGATTTCATAGACAGAAGTTCGTTTGATTGGTTAATTTTTATAGATCTACCCGTGATTTCCCGTGATTATTAACCAATCAA